CCCTCAGCTCAGGTCATGATCCCGTGGTCCTGGGATGGAGTCCTGCATCAGATTCCCTGCTCAGCGGGGACTCGCTTGTCCCTCTCCCTCTGCCCCCACTCCCCTCCACCTTGTGCTCTCTCTCTCTCACTCTCAAGTGACTAAATAAATCCTTTTTTTTTCTTTAAGATTTATGGGACACCTGCGTGGCTCAGTCGGTTAAGCATCTGCCTTCAGTGCAGGTCGTGATCCCAGGGTCCTGGGATTGAGGAGTCCCGCCATTGGGCTCCTTGCTCAGCTGGGAGTCTGCTTCTCCCTCTGCCTGCTGTTCCCTTTGCTTGTGCTCTCTCTCTCTCTGACAAATAAATAAATAAAATATTTTTTTAAAAGATTTTCTTTATTTGACACAGAGAGACACAGTGAGAGAGGGAACACAAGCAGGAGTGGGAGAGGGAGAAGCAGGCTCCCCGCTGAGCAGCAAGCCCAACTCGGGGCTCAATCCCAGGACCCCAGGATCATGACCTGAGCCGAAGTCAGAGGCTTAATGACTGAGCCACCCAGGCACCCCTCAAATGCATAAGTAAAATCTTTAAAAAAAATACTTAAGTGCTTTTATGGAAATACAAAATGTCAAATTCTTAAAATTAATTTTTCTCATTCTTGGCCTGGTCTCATGCTCTCACTCTCACACTGCCTCCTGGGAATTCAGCTCTGCCTTGCAACCCACAGGGTGCCAGAGACCAGTCAGGAAGAGAGGCCCAGGACTTCCCCTCTGATAGACCCCTCAAAAAAGCCTCCACCCTCATCCTGCCCTCCAGTCCACCTTGCCTGCCAAAGTACCAGGCACGGCAGCCCAGCCAGGAAACAGGAGACGCCGCTAGTCAATATCCCCTCCCTTCTGCTCTGTCCAAGACTTCATAGTTCCAGAATCAGAGCCAACTTTCTGATAAGGGATGGGTGGGTTTGGGGGGAGGAGCACAGGGAGTGCCAGCCTGTTAGCCTGTGACCCGGTCTCTCCCAAGTCACTCAGCAAATCGGCTTCAAAGGGGACACTGATTTTCCGACTTCCTTTAGAAAGCCACTCTACCCATCCTCACCAAGGGAAGGGGAGGAGGCAAGAAGAGAATCAGGCACTTGGCTGAGGCGGGGCAAGTCTAAGGTAGAGCTGAATTGAGAACAGAGCTGTGACCGCCTGGTTCTGAGCAGTTCCCATCTTATAGACGGGTTGTATTCCGAAAGTCTTAATTTTTCTACTAAGGTAAATCAACTAGGTCAACTGTTTATGGAATATTTACTAAGTATGCTAGATAGGCATTGCTTTACTTAATCCTCCTGAGAATTGGGACGCCTTGGTGGCTCAGCCTGTTAAGCATCTGCCTTTGGCTCTGTTCATGATTCCAGGGTCTTGGGATTGAGTCCTGCATCAGGCTCCTTGCTTAGCGGGAACCTGCTTCTCCCTCTGCCTGCTGCTCCCTCTGCTTGTTCTCTGACAAACAAATAAGTAAAATCTTTAAAAATAAAATAAATTAAAATCCTTCGGAGAATCCTGTGGGTTTATTCTTGTTTTCCCATTGCGGGTGAAGAAACAGAAGAAGAAGAAAAAGCAGCAGCAGCATCGGAGATGCTAAGTGATTTGTCCCTGGCCACCCAGAGTGAGGGTTGGGAACAGATTCTTGATTCCAAGCCCGGTGGCTATTCCATGATGCCACACTATTTTGGGCAATAAATGGTTTTCCAGATTAAGCCACTAGAACTCCTTTAATCCATTATGCCTCCCCAAATAGTGCAAACTTGGAAAGGGAGAAAAAGAAAATAGTACTGACATACGAATAAATTAGTGTAGAAAAATAACAAAATGGACTTGGGAAGTGTTTCGTTGTCTAGAACAAGGATTCCTTTTGGAAAGTGGCTTTATTGAGAAGTGGGTGTGGAGGTCGCTGAGGGCGGATATAATGAAATTCACAAAGCCCAAGCTGGATATTTGCAAAGGCTTAGGAGCTTGCCCATCCTGGCTCTTCGTGTCTGGTTTTGTTCTCAATTTGCGCCTTCTCCTTAAGGCAGCAGCCGTGATTGGAGCCGATTCAAGAAACGCAGCAAAGAAAAGTGAGTAAGAGAACAAGGAAGACAGAAAATGATTTCCCCATAGGTAACACAGCCAGGAGGGCTAACCATGGAGAGACGATATGTGTCTGTATAAGAATTAAACAGCCGTGGGACGCCTGGGTGGCTCAGTTGGTTAAGCGGCTGCCTTCGGCTCAGGTCATGATCCCGGTATCCCGGCATCGAGTCCCACATCAAGTCCCACATCCGGCTCCATGCTCATGGGGGAGCCTGCTTCTCCCTCTGCCTCTGCCTCTGCCTCTGCCTGCCACTCTGTCTGCCTGTGGTCTCTCTCTCTCTGACAAATAAATAAAAATAAATTAAAAAAAAAAAGAATTAAACAGCCGGGGTGACGTTTCTTTTCATCCATCGATGAGGCTTTCTCAGGGACAAGGGCAGGCAGGGAGCCAAGCGCATTGTTTCCCCGAAGGGCAGGGCTGGTGAGAGGTAAGGATGATGAGTCCCACACTTCTCACCAATGGCCTCCACACACGTGGTTGCGGAGAGAGCAGCTTCTAGGTGTGTAAGGGCAGGCGGGGCGAAAAGGCATTTGGGCCATGAGATGTTCTCTAGGCACACTAACTTCCTCGGGGGGGTCACATCCGGGTCCACTGCCATCACATGATGGAAGGTTCTGGCTTCTCCCTTGAGCTCCGGGATCATACAACTAATGCCAGTTGACATCAGAGTGTGTATCTTATTTTTAATCCACCCCCTTCTGCCCCTCCTCTGGTTTCCTTACATGGTCTCTAGCTTCACCCTCCAAGGCAAACGTAAGCCGTCCCGGATTACTCTCTTTCTGTCAGCCCTCACAGTTAAGCCACCTGATCAGGATTAAATGAAGGCTCCCATTCCCTACCGTGGGTGACAGTTCTGCCTCTCTCCCTGCGGCTTCATCGCATGACCTGCTTCTTCACATTCACTGCGCTCTAGCCTTCCTCCGTTCCTGAGAGCCCTCACCCTGGTTCCTAGCTTGGGGCTCTGCGTCTGATGCTCCTCCGCCTGTAATAGCCTTTCCCATCTCGCTGCAAGCCAGCCACTTCTCATTCTTCACGACTCACATCAAAGATCAGCTTTTCACAGGGTACTTCCCTGACCTCTCTGATGGAAAAGTTCTCTTTAAATTATTCTCAATCGGGGCGCCTGGGTGGCTCAGTGGGTTAAAGCCTCTGCCTTCAGCTGGGGTCATGATCCCAGGGTCCTGGGATGGAGCCCCGCATCAGGCTCTCTGCTCAGCGGGGAGCCTGCTTCCCCTTCTCTCTCTCTGCCTGTATCTCTGCCTACTAGTGATCTCTGTCTGCCAAATAAATAAATAAAATCTTTAAAAAAATAAATTATTCTCAATCACATCACCCAATTTCTTTTCTTTATAGCACCTGAACTGCCTCCTTTGCTTGTGGTCCGTATTTCTACCATCTGTCTCTATCCACAAGGCTTGTTGGTCATTGTACCTGACGGTGTACATCGTACATTGTATAAATTCACAAATGAGTGACTGAAAAGAGGAACTTGCAAGTTCCTTTTTTTTTTTTAAGATTTTATTTATTTATTTATTTGACAGAGAGAGAGATCACAAGTAGGCAGAGAGAGGGGGAAGCAGGCTCTCTGCTGAGCAGAGAGCCCAATGCAGGGCTCGATCCCAGGGTCCTGAGATCACGATCTGAGCCAAAGGCAGAGGCTCAGACCATTGAGCCATTCAGGGTGCCCCTCAACACTTTTTTTTTTTTTAATCTGAGACAGAATGAGAGAGAGAGAGTGCGCAAGCACAAGCGGGGCAGAGGGGCAGAGGGACAGGGATAAGCAGACTCCCGGCTTAGAGGGAACATGACACAGGGCTCAATCCCAGGACCCTGAGATCATAGCCTGAGATGAACACAGACACCTAACCAACTGAGTCACCCAAGTGCCCCCCCATAAACAACTTTTTTTTTTAAGATTTTATTTATTTATTTGACAGACAGAGATCACAAGTAGGCAGAGAAGTAGGCAGAGAGAGAGGAGGAAGCAGGCTCCCTGCTAAGCAGAGAACCCGATGTGGGACTTGATCCCAGGACCCTGAGATCATGACCTGAGCCGAACGCAGAGGCTTTAACCCATTGAGCCACCCAGGTGCCCCCATAAACAAATTTTCTAAGGAGACGAGTTTTTATACAAACCATAGAGTTGAGGGCAAGTGCATCTGTCGTTCATAGGGCCTTATATGTGTCTGCATTTGGGGGGAGGTGAATTGTTTAGGAAGAAGCCAGAATAGAGAGAAAATTAATTCCCGAGCCAGGCATGGCAGAGCTGCAGGTGACCGGCCCAACTTCTGATCAATACAGAGCACCCCCCTAGACGGGTGAGATGTTTCAGAAGCAGAGCTGAGCGCACATTTATACTTATAAAACTGCTCCGTCTGGAGCCTCTCCCCAGTGACAGGCCCTGTGTTAAGTGCCTTGTACACTCTATTGTGATCAAGCCTCATCAAGAAAACCTGTATGTTATGTACTGTTTCTAAGCCCCTTTTACAGTTAAGAAACCTGCAGTTTAGAGAAATAGCTTTGCTAACTGGGATTTAAACCCAGGCCGGCGTGATTCCAGAGCCCCTAACTCTGCTCGTCCAGCCTGCCTCTCCAGATCCCTGATCGTGCCGTGAAATTCTCTAGGGAGGGACAGCTCCATCAGTTTGAGAATTAAGGAAGCTAAAGTTTGAACATACTGAGTGACTTGCCCAAGACCATCAAGCTAGTCAGTGGTGGCCTGGAACGGAGTCTATGTCCTTCTGGCTTTGGTCCCAGGACTCCTTCTCCTATAGCTTATAGACCTCATTGGGACTGGGCCTGATCATGTGCCACCGACCTTCGACCCTCGACCCTCAGAGACCAAGGGAGGGAAGAGGATGCCACACCGTGGGAAAACTGACACTCCTTCCCCCCACCCAGGCATTCCTGGAGAAGTACGGATATCTCAATGAGCAGGTCCCCAAAGACCTCACCGCGGCAAGATTCAGCAATGCCATCAGGTATGTGGGGATTTGGGGGTGCCAGAGGGCAAAGTTTGGGTCACCGCTTCCCTCCTCCTGGAAGGCTGGCCTCCCACCTGTGTCCAAGGGTCACACTCCGCTGCTCCCTCCCCTCCCCCCTCCACCAGCCTCCTGCTGTCTCCTGGGAAGCTCCTTGCCCTCACCCCCACCCACACCCTCCGGCTGTGCTCCTTTATCTCAATTCCTCCTGACAGGAAGTTCCAGTGGGTATCTCAGCTGCCCATCAGCGGCACGCTAGACCCTGCCACCCTGCGCCAGATGATGCGGCCCCGCTGTGGGGTGGCAGACACAGACAGTCAGGCGGCCTGGACCGAGAGGGTTAGTGCCCTGTTCGCTGGACGCCGGGCCAAAATGAGGCGTAAGAAACGCTTTGCAAAGCAAGGTGAGCCCTGTTGAAATCTAGCTAAACTGGGATTCCCGACGCCCAGAAGTCCCACGGCCAGAGGAAAAATCCAGCCCAGCCTGGGACTGGACTTTGTCCGTATCCTCTTCCCTAGGACAGGAGAGGGGAGAGCAGTGGGTGAACAGGACCGGTCAAGTGGAGGGCCATGTTTGGGAACACAGACATTTAAATCAGAATTTTACAGACATGGATGAATTTTCATTATGCCGATGTTTCCCAGGACAAGCCCCATCGAGCCCCCTTCATTCCTTGATCAGTTGGTTATGCTGTGAACTGTTGCCAGCATTTTGCCTTGTGTTTTCCCAAAGTTGTTCTCATCGGGATTTATTCTTTTTTCGTAAGAGTGATTCAACAAAGATGTGATTTACCAGTCAGTTTTATTTTGTCTATAGCATGCTTTGAGCAGCCTTAATTGGAATAGAATTCACATGCCATAAAATATATCCATTGGAAGTGTACAACTCAGTGGTTTTTAGTATATTTGCAGAATTGTGCAACCATTACCATAATCTAATTCTAGAACATGTTCATCACTTCCAAAAGAAACCCCATGTTCTCTAGCGGTCACTCCCTTCCCTCTCCCCCTCTCCCTTCCTCCTCCCCTTCTTCTTGCCCCCTCCCCCAGCCCCTGACAACCACCCACCTGCTTTCTGTTTCTGTGGATTTGCCTATTCAAGACATTTCATCACTGCTCATTTTATACATCACGATTTCTGCCATTGTGATTCTCCTTTTGTAGGTTTTATCTTTCCTTCACCTCCTCTTCCTCCCTTTTGTCCAGATTCAGTCTTCTAGGATCAAATGTTACGGACCTAAGATTTATGAAGTTCTGATTCTTCTCTCAAGTCTTCATCACCAACAAGTTTTCCTGTGTGTAATTTTAACATCTTCTTTGTACTAAGTCTAATTTTCTCTGACCTGATTTCTGCGGTGTTTAGGATTTCTAACCAGATGGGGCTGTTGAGTCAGGTTTTCATCTATAACCAATTTACTACGAGCACTTTGGGCCATTGCCTCTTAAATTGCCTTAGCTGCTTGCACCAACAATATCCCTTGTGAACACAACACAAGGTTCATAGGTCGTTTTTATTTCTTTGCTGATCCAGAAGGAAGCTGTGGGCCGTTCCCCTCAGCTCTTGGAGGATGGCAGTAATGGGGTCTGGACGCTTGGTGTCCACATGTTCTGCATCCCACCATGTTTCTGGACCTCAGAGCTAAAAGAGAGACGTAGCATGAGCTGGGACAGCATTCCAGGAGCTGGGGCTCTGGGCTCGGCAGTGTGTCATGCTCCATTTCTTCATCTAGGACATAGGCCCTTTCTGGTTGCAAAGTAGAAATGGGCCCTGATCAGCAAGGGGAAGGGGCTGGCAGTGGAAGGTGGGGCGGCCCCATACACAGTCTCGGCAGTGGCATTTCCCAGCTACAGGTGGTCTCCCAGAGAGTTGGGGTACTGCCTCCAGGGCCATCCAGGCACAGCCTGAGCATCCTAGATCCTTCCTTCTGGCAGCATCTTCTCCTGCCTTCTCCAGGGAGTCGCTGATGGAACCCATTTGGCTCTGTTCAATTTGGAGCATCCATTTGGAACAGAGATTCCAGCAAAGGCATCTTTGGTAGCCTTGCCCAACCAGCCTGGCCCCATGTCACTGTCTGACCGTGACCCCTAGTTCAGACAGCAGTGGCTCAGGTTAGATGGAGACTTTCCCCTCTTGTTCACAACCTGAACCACAGCAGCTTGACTTCTTTTACCCCGAGTGAGAAGACCTTCCCTAGAAAGGAGCTGTATGCCTGGCAGGCACTGAACACTTCCTATGCCTTCCTTTGGAGAATGTGTTTAATAACAGTTGACCCTTCCTGAGCGTCTATGATATGCCAAGTGCGGCTCTAAATGGGTTAAGTCACGTAATCCCATAACAACTCTAGGAGATAAGGACCATCATTATCCTCATTTTACAGAGAGGCAAACTAGGGGACAAAGAGCTGAGGAAATTTCCCCAGGGCCACAGAGCCAGAGTGTGGCCAAGCCTTCTCATCCCTGGGAGGCCCGAGTGAGATGCCACATGTGAGAAAACCCAGAACACGGGTGGGTGCCGTAAAAATGATGTGGATTTCTAGGCCAGTGACTGTCGACTCTGTGGGCGAGTGCTCTCCTGACAACGTCGGGTTCCAGGGTAGGGTTGCCGGATAAAATATGAGACATCCAGGTAAATCTGGATGTCAGATGAATAGCAAATCATTGCTTTGTGCTCACTTTTATACAAAAACATTATTTATCTAATATTCAAATTTAACCAGGTGTTCCATGTTTTTATTTGCTCAGTCTGGCAGTCTCATTTCAGGTGTGCCTGCAGGGGAGATTTTCAATCCCCCTCAGTCCCCCATGGAGCTGGGGTGTGTGGAGGGGGTCCCGGGGTAGAAAAGGAAGGAGACAAGAGGAGGCATTTACCGAGCACCCACCATGTGCCTGGCAGCTGTATGCTGCTAGTTCATTTGCCTTCTCGTTTTCACCACAAGTAAGTCTTACCAACCACACTTGGCAAATAAGGAAACCAAGGTTTGGAGAGATTCCATAATTTGCTATGTAAGCTAGAGAGTAGAAGTGCTGGGATTCCGACCAGCCTTCTTTCCACAGTATCCATTGCCTTTTGGGAGTCAGGACTTCAGCGTCCTCCCCAAAGCAAGGTGTCTAGGTCTCCACTCTTCCCCACGTCCTTTTCCTTCCCTCTTCCCTTTTGGATTTTGGGGCAAGGGCATGGGGGGTGCACTGCCAGGTGCTTCTGTGGCCTAGGGTCTTTGCAGAATCCAGCCTCGCCTGGGCCAGAGTTCAGGATGGGGCCCCAGGTGGCCAGCCTGCTCTGTAAGGACCTACCTCAGGAAGAGGACAGAGAGAGGCCTCGGGCTGCTGGTGGGGGTAGGTGGTGGGTGAGGGGGGGGTCTTCCTTTTTGGCAGGCATACCAACAACCCCTCCCAAGGAAAATTATCCATTTTCTCTCAGTCATGTACCCATATGCCCTCCCTGCCCTCCTCCAGAGACACGCATGCATGCACACACACATGTTCACAGAGGACTTGTATCCTGGAAGCTGTCACCTTACCTAGCTAGAGTGAGAGAACTGCCCACCCTCTCCCTTTTTTGCCGGGGCTGAGTGAAGCCCCCCCCCCCCCCCCCCCCCCCCCCCCAAAGGGGGAGGGGGCCCCCCCCCCCCCCCCTGGGCGGCGGGGGGGGGGGGCGCCCCCCCCCCCCCCCCCGCCCCAGGCAAAGAGGCAGAAGGAGCTTTCTCACACTTCTGGGGGCTTGAAGGTGGGTGGGGAGGGTCTGGGAGTCAGTCAGCCCCAGCAGGGTGTGGAAGTGCCCAGCGGCAGCCAGTCCAGAGCCCTCCGAGTCACCTCTGGATCCCAGGCCTTCCCTCCGCCTTCCTCGTCTCCCTCCCTTCCTAAGAATCCTTCCCTCTTCCCTCCGTGAGGGTTGGTCACTGGCTGGGAGGGGTTGGATGCCTGCCAGGCCAAACAGGCCTGGGAAGGCAGCATTGCCTTGAATGGAGCTTGGCTCAGGGTGGGAGAAAAGACATTCCCCTCCCCCACTTCCACAGGGGATAGGGGAGGGAAAGGGCACTCAGCTCCTCGGCTCTTGACCACCCTCCCTCCCATCTGGAGAATTTCAGCTCAAGCAGAGCCCCTGCTTTGACCCACAGGAGCCATGTCAGGCAAATTTATAAGTCTTGAGTCTTAACAAATGTGTCTGCTTACCTGTGTGGTGTAGTGGAAAGTTCGCTAGGTCAGATGTCGGGGCCTGAGCTCAGGGCCTAGCTCGACTACTCACTCACTCTGTGACCCTGGGCAGGTCCCTTCCCCTGGTCTCAACTTCCCCACAACAGAGCAGAAAGGTTGGAGAAGGAGGGGGCCAGCCTTCCATGACTTCAGCCACCACCCCCCCCCCCCCCGCCCCGTTTAGGCAAGGACTTCCCAGAGGCAAAAGGGCAGGTGGTCTGAACCTTCGATTTTTCCTCCAGGGAGAGAGAGGGCTGTGCCCGCTGGCCTAGCCTGCCTATTTGTCACCCATACCTCAGGAATTGTGATCCAGTTGGAAAACTGAGACCCCAAAAACCACATGATAGCTTTGCACCCCCTGGACCCATGAGACCTGGCTCTGAGCTGTGAGTCTTTCAGCTGGGGTCACAGTCTCAGCCCCTGAGCTTTGCAAGGCTCAGAAATAGCCGGTGAAAAACTCGCGATCTGGACTTTCTAAGCACCCTGGTCCTGGGTGTGCTGAGGGCTGCAGGGGGACTCAGTAGACATGAGGCTTGGGCAAGAGGCCAGCGTCTTAGGTCCAAGGGAGGAACTGCAGTTCTGGGCAAAGGCACAGAAGCTCATAACTAAGTGGAGATGGAAAAATTTCTCTCCAGTCTCAGTGAGTGACAAAACACACCCTGTGTTCTGATTTGTTTACACCTTGGAGCTCTCCAGAATCCCTGAGGAAGTGAGGGGGAGGGCTAGGGGTCAGGGAAAGACCTCTAATAAACGGGTCTTGGTAGCTGGTGGGCAGCAGGCCTGCGGCACTGGAACGGGAGGGGCAGGCGGGTGTGAGGGGTGGAGAGGAGGAAGGGGTGAGAGGGGGTCACAGCTGTGGCCCTGTCGGCCCCATCTCTCCTCCACCCCCTGACACAGCAGCCAGGGGTAGGGATTTGCTGCCACCAAGACATGCAGAACGGTTTTCAGTTTCAGCCGAGGCTGTGAGGAAGAAGACCCGGACCAGAGAGTCCTTAGGGTGGGGGCTTTTCCTGGGCAGAGGTCACATCTCCCCTAGGGACCTCCCCAGGCCAAGCCACTAGACTGCGGACTGTCTGGGACCAGGGTAGTCCTGTCGGCTCAAGAGCAGTGTCTCCCCAGCCAGATGGGCTCTTCCCAGGACAAGGGCTGTGTCTTCCCCTTCAAATCCGGGACTCCCTGGAGGAGAGCCAATCACCACCTCATATGGGTCCCTGGGGACCAGCCCCGGGCTCCGCAGGTAGGTATGACTGACATGGCCTCTCCGGCCTGCAGGCAGCAAGTGGTACAAGCAGCTCCTCTCCTACCGCCTGGTGAACTGGCCACAGCACCTCCCGGAACCGGCAGTTCGCGGGGCCGTGCGTGCCGCCTTTCAACTGTGGAGCAACGTCTCAGCCCTGCAGTTCTGGGAGGCTCCAGCCACAGTCCCCGCTGACATCCGCCTCACCTTCTTCCAAGGGGACCACAACGACGGGCTGGGCAATGCCTTTGATGGCCCAGGTGCTGACACAGAGCCTCTCTCTCCCATGGCAGGAGGGGAACCCAGCTGGGAGAGGCAGTCTGGGGAGGGCAATGGGGCCTTTGCTCTCCGTTCAGCCTTGGTCAAGCTGGATCCCTCTTCAAAGAACCCTCAGTCTCCTCCCCTATAGAATGGGAGCAATGGTTTCTGCCCAGTTATGTGGCACATGACTGAAGGGATGGCAAGATGAAGTTCTGCATGGAGAGTGCTTTGCAAATTCCAGAGTATTTTCTGGGGGAAGCTTCTGAGGTCCCATCATCCATCCTCTGCTTCTAGACAGGCCTGTGCCTCCCCTGTTCTCCCAAAGTGGATGTTCTCACGACCACCAACCCGACAAACATCCAGAGGCCACCACTACCCAACTCTTGCCCTCCCCAAACCCACTACCACAGTCACTGCCACAGGGTAAGAGGCGTTCTATCCCTTACCCACCACAGAAGTGCTTTGTGTTCCCACAACCCAGCCAATTCTCCTGTTTGTCCCCAACCTAAAGGCTTATGGCAGTAATTCTGGCCAACACAGGCCTTCAGAACCTAACTGCAGGCTACTTGTACATCACCCTCCCACCCCACCAGCCCCCTCCATGCCCTAACGAGGAAAGGAGCCCTAATTGGGCCCCTTCACCCTAGTGGGAACTCCAGCCCTTGTATGGCCAGGGAATGTGGGCCCTCACCTCCCTCACGCTGCTCTGCTTTGCTTCAGGCCCACTCCCAGCAAAGTCCACGTCCAGGTCCTGTTGCTGGGACCGGGGATAGGACTGGCAGAAATCTAAGCTTTTCACGAATCCATACGTAACATATATGTGCTCCTGCGTGTAACTCACTTCAGCCCTGATACCTACATGAAATGTTCATGCCTGTGCCCCACTGGAGTCTGGCGGCTAAGACCGCACCGGACTGGGAGAAAGCTCTCCGATCTGGGGCAGGTGCTTTGTCTTTTCTGAGTTTAGGCGTTCTCTCTCTGAAACCTGCCATCTGTCTCCCAGGATTATTGTGAGGAGTGAACCGAAAGGGCTACCACTGCTTGGACAGCTCCAGGCATGTTCAAAACAGGAGGCATGTATTCCTCCTACACTCACATGCCCCTGCGACTCCTCACCCCAGGCGACTCTGCTCTAACAGTAGTCAATCCCCTTTGGCCTGGGCTCCAAGAAGGCAATGCAGGAAGTGCCCTCGGCAGGCTTCTAGGCCAACATTATCACCCTGCCCTTTGCTGACCGTGGCCCCTGCAAAAAGTGAATTGTGATGTCTGAGGGCCTTGGAATTGCGTAGCTGATAACCCCCCGGGGCATGCCCCAAGCTCCAACATCACTGATCCTGTCTGTTCCTTCCCTCTGCTCACTCCTACTAGAGCGAGCCCCACAGAGGAAGGCAAGAACACAAAAATAGATGTGCTTTTTATTAAAGACTATATATACCCATTAACATACCCAGCACCCAGATCAAGAATCGATATTACTGACATTCAGAAGGTCCCATCGTGCCCACCTCTGGGATAACCACTATACCTATTCTAGATCTTTGTGAAAATACTTTCCGTGTAGCATTCCTCATGGGCTAGGCACTAAGTATTATGCGTAACCTACTGGTATAGAGACTCAGTCCTCTGTAATCCCCGTGAGGAAGAAGCAGCTCATTATCATCATTCCCATTTCAGATCAGAGGGGGAGCGACTGGCTCAAGGTCACACAGCTAGTGAACAGGGAAACAGGGATGGAAACCCATGGGGTCTGTACACCACGCTGCCTCCCTGGCGTCTACACCCCACAGCCTAGTCTTCGGTTCAGGGCTGCCCACTTGAACCTCTCCCAGAGGTCATGAGGAGGTAACTTGTGCAGCTGAAAACAACCACACCCAACCCCTGGGGCTCCGCAAGGGAAGGTGGGGACGTGGGGGGCGTGGCGGGCAGTGGCACCCCCACTGACCCCCCCGCGCCGCCTGCAGGGGGCGCCCTGGCGCACGCCTTCCTGCCCCGCCGGGGCGAAGCGCACTTCGACCGCGACGAGCGCTGGTCCCTGAGCCGCCGCCGCGGGCGCAACCTGTTCGTGGTGCTGGCGCACGAGATCGGCCACACGCTCGGCCTGCCGCACTCGCCTGCGCCGCGCGCGCTCATGGCGCCGTACTACAAGAGGCTGGGCCGCGACGCGCTGCTCAGCTGGGACGACGTGCTTGCGGTGCAGGGCCTGTATGGTGAGCCCCCGCCCTGTCCACCGCCAGTCCCCCGTTCCAGCCCCGGGGCCCGCACGCCAGCGCGGCGAGCAGGAGCCCCCCGCCCCAAGCGCGGCAATCCGGCCTCCCCGTCACCGGTCCCTCGCGATCCCGAAGCCGCGGGCTCCCCTCACATCCCAATCAGGTCCCGCGCACCGCCCTGCCTGGCGCTCTATTCCCCAGTCCTGCCCAACCCCAGCCTCGGCCTCGGCAGTTCCTCTCCCATCGCTGCCCCATCACTCAGACCCAGTGTCCGGTCCCACCTCTTCCCCCATCCCAGCCCACATTCCTGCTCCTCTTGCCCTCCCCCAGCCTTCCCCCTCCCTGACGCTGGTGCCCGCTTTCCTCCAAGCCTGGGCCTCTGTCTGGAGGTAGACCCAGCCGAGGTAACCCGCCCCTACCCTGACCCCTTCCAGAATGAACTGGCCAGGGCTGCCACCCAGCCAGCCACAGCTCAGAGTGCCCAGTGCGTGGGCAGGGCCAGAGCCCTGGGTTCAAGTCACCATGGGATTCCTGATAAGCAGTTGCTCTTAGGCAAAGCATTTCCCCTCTGAGAGCTCTCAGTTTTACCTTCTGAGAAAGGGGATAATCATTGAGGCCCTGCTTACCTCACAGGGCTGTTGCGCTAGTAGGGGTACCAACTTCTCTGTGGCCTAAGAAACCTTCCGGAACAGCTGCTATTTCGTGAGTGTATACTATCTGCCGGGCACTTAACACACTCATGAGGTATCTTTTTGTCCACAGATGGGGAGAACTGGGCTCAGAGAGGTTAGGTAACTTGTCTAAGGTCACACAGCTAGAAAGTTGTAGACCACAATGCAGGACCTGGTGCCAAATTACAAGCTTGTTGGACCCTGCCTCACTCTCATAAGTATAATGATGTAATTATTATGATTGCTCTAACTATTGCAGCCCAGACCCTGAACTCTGCCCTCATGCCATCCGTGTTGCCCAGGACTCAGGGAAGAGAACCTTCTGCTCTTCTTAGTGCCTGACTCTTGGGTGGTCTGCCACTCCAGTTTTAGCTCAGTAGAGGCCTCTTTCCCACACTGTTCAGTAGGAGAGAAGACTTTTGAGTTTAGTGCTATGGTTAATAATAACCAAGGAAACTTTTAGACCCCCCCCTGCCTCTCAAACTAGATAACGATAGAAGGAACCAGAAGAGAGGTCTTGAGCCCTCCACACACGCCGCAACCAGTGTGTGTTCTCTCCCTCTTCTCTCCTTCCCCATGAAGGGAAGCCCCAGGGGGGCTCCGTGGCCATCCAGCTCCCAGGAAAACTGTTCACTGACTTTGAGGCCTGGGACCCCCACAGACCACAGGGAAGGCGCCCCGAAATCCAGGGTCCTAAATACTGCCACTCTTCCTTTGATGCCATCACTGTAGGTAAGATGGTCCCACCTGTGCCTCACTGCCTTTTTCCTTCCTCCTCCACATCTCCAGGGGTCTCCAGCGCTGGAATACGAGGTGGGGTTAAGAATTAAAAAATCCAGAAATCCCAAGCCACAAGCATTCTGCAGGGGTAGCAAGCCAATGCCAAGCAAAACACTTGCTTCCTCCTGCATGCCTTCCCCAGCTGTGCTCGCTACATCCTCTCTCCTGAGTCTGGGAAGCTGGTTCTAGGAAAGCACCTTCCCTGGAAAGAAGGCGAGAGGCTGATGGTCACTCAACTCTCTTGTCTCCGGACAGATGGGCAACAGAGACTGTACATTTTTCAAGGAAGCCACTTCTGGGAGGTGTCCGCGGATGGCAATGTCTCAGAGCCACGCCCACTACAGGAAAGGTGGGCGGGGCTGCCCCCCCACATTGAGGCTGCTGCCGTATCATTGGACAGTGGAGACTTCTACTTTTTCAAAGGTACCAGCCTTGGGGCAGATGAGAAAATTGAGGCCTAGAGGAGGGAGGTGTTCTCTCCCAGGTCAAGAGAGGGGTGGAGTCCCGATTCCACTCTGAACCTGTGGCCCCAGGGAACTCTACCAAGAGGTTCCTTCAGTGATGGATTGCGGGGCATGGGTGTTGAGGTTGTCCCAGAGAGAGAGGGTGGGAGACCTGCAGAGGAAGAGAGCAGAGGACCACTCCTGAGCTCTGCAATCCAGCAGAAAAATCCTGCTTCCTTGGAATCCTGGCTGTGTGAGGTTGGGCCTGTCACTTGGACTTGAATTATCTCGAATGGGAAAAATAATCCCTCAAGTGTGTTGGGGAAGGAGGATTAAAACATGTCACAAGGAGTGTGCAGTATATTTGGGTAAATAGTTTCACTCATCCAACAAATATTGAGTGCCTTTCACGCATCAGACACAGTTGGGGGTGTTGGGATACAGTCGTGAACAAAACAGAAATTCCTGCCTTCATAGAACTATCCGCAGAAACCGTGGTGACTGGCCTTCCCTGTGGTCCACTGCCCATTCAGGGAGATGCCCCCGCAGCGCTGTCTGCCCTCTGCTGACACCTGCTGGAAGTTGGCCACCACGGTCCCTCCTTAACTGGGTATAAAGAAATTACTAGTACCATGAGATCCATTTTGATGATCACAAGTTCTGACCACGTTGGGCTCCAACATGAGGGGGAACACGGGTCTGGGGGGACAGAGGTGAGGTGGAGGACCAAAGGGTGACAGCCACCAGCTCACCCTGGCTCTCCCGATGCCTTACAGGGAGCCGATGCTGGAGGTTCCGGGGCCCCAAGCCAGTGTGGGGTTCACCACAGCTGTGCAGGGCAGGGGGCCTGCCCCGCCACCCCGACGCCGCCCTCTTCTTCCCTCCTCTGGGCCGACTCGTCCTCTTCAAGGGTGCCCGCTACTATGTGCTGGCCCCAGACGGACTGCAGGTGGAGCCCTACTACCCCCGAGGCCTGCGGGACTGGGGTGGTGTCCCCAAGGAGGTCAGCGGTGCCCTGCCACGGCCGGATGGCTCAATCATCTTCTTCAGAGATGACCGCTACTGGCGCCTTGACCAGGCCAAACTACGGGTGACCACCTCGGGCCGCTGGGCCGCAGAGCTGCCCTGGATGGGCTGCTGGCATGCCAATTCGGGGGGCGCCCTCTTCTGAAGATGCTCCCACCCCTTAGTGAATTGCTGGTGCCCTCGTGGCCAACGTGTATCCTCTGCCCCAGGAGAAGGACCTGTCTTGGAAGCCTCCGAGCCTCCACAAGACCAGGCAGGAACGTTAGCATTTGTGCCCTGGAGAATGGCTTTGTGCTCTTCGGACATCGATCTTTGTGGGATCAATCCAAGGAGAAACCAGAAAGGGTCTCCAACCCCACAGCCCTTCCCCTGAAGGACTCTCCTCCCCAGGCCTTAGGGATTTTGTTTCTTCTGCTAAAGGCACACTTCTGTCTGGGAGGCAACAGCACTGGGCGGCCAGGGAGGGTACAGAACTCGATGGAGAGGTTGGGACCACTTTGCAAGACTGTCTCCTTCCTCTCAGGACCTCCTGGCTCAGTTTTTGGAGAATTGTGTCTTTTGAAATGAGAAGCCTCACCTCCAGGAAACTTGGGTGGGTTGGGTACAAGGATTTCCGACCTCAGAGAGCCTTGGGGGTGATAGTGGGAGGTCAGCACCTGGAGCAAGAGGGAGACTGATGCAGGCCTGCTGGGCGACATTTGGGGGGTGGCTGAAATAAAGCGGAACCCCCAGCTCGTGGGCCCCAAAGCAGACATCAGCCTTCCTTGGAATGGTTTCCAGTGAGAGCAGGTGGGGCATGGATGCTGGAGAGGCTGGAACCACGTTCTTTTCCATCCAAGCCAAGACTACAGACTGTGAGTCCTCGTGATGGGGAGAGGTGGCCTGAAAAAGCAAAATGTCCCCATCCTTCCTCACCCCCAGGCTAGCTGGGGAGCCAGGGGTGGCAGGGAGAGGATGGGGCCTCTCTGGAGGGCAGTGCTGCTGCAGGCGCTGGGGTCCCTGCAGGCTAGGGGAGGCCTGGTGCTTACAATGGCCCCATTCTTCAGGCCACACACGTAGCGTTCCAGGAGCTGGCTGGCTGGCCAAGAATAGCTGGGATTCCTGGAGAAGGAACCAGCTCTCCAGCCTCTCTCTCTTCGGCCTCAGCCAGTCTCAGCGTTTCAGCAGCTGGTTCTCTTGTCCTCCCTGCCCCCCACCCCCCACCCCACACACCTGCCAGTGCCTCATTTGCACAAACACTGACCTCAGCAAGACCAGGCTTCCAGGGGAAGGGGAGAATGATCTGGCAAGATTCAGCCCTCATCTCCCCAGGGGCATTTCTGGCCCTCTGCCTTCCTTTTCTTCTCTGTGCGGTAGGGGGTAGGGATGGGGGGGTGGCCTTTGACTGCCCTTGGATGCAAGTGCTTTGTTCCTCCCTGTCCTGGGGGAGATGGAGGGAGGAGGCGCTCTGCCTGCCCTTCTCCCTCTGACCTGAACCCTGGGGAAGGCGAAGGAGGGTCTTTATAACCCTCAAGGGAGCCACCTGGCCCCACTTCAAGGCTCTGACATTTTGTTAGAGGCTTTATTGGGTGATTGGAAAGGCAGGGGCAAGTTTCTCAGCCGCGAGGGAACCCAGGGGTTAGTTTCTCTAGGCGACGCCTCTGCCCACTGGGCCAGAGGACCTGAACTACCCAGGAGATGAATATGAGCCTGTGCCAGGGGATGCGAGTCAGGCGGGAGGGAGGTACTGGGTGCTGCTCGGAGGGGAGCTCTTGGGAGGCGCTCCAGGTGACGTTGGGCTCAGCCTCGGGTGGCGCACGGTGACAGGTGGGAACGCCCGCGGCGACCGTGGGCCGGCCTGCGGGCTTGGAGAAGGCGTTCTGGGAAGGGGCAGCTCTGTGGAGTGTGCGGGAAAGCGCTCCGCATCGGAGAAGAGGAGGTGGTGGCGGAGAGGCCGGGGTCAGGCGCAGACGGAGGGCACCAGGGTTGGCGGCGGGCGCGCTCAGGGGCACCCGGCGGCCCCCGCGCCCCCGGAAGCCCGCGCCTTACGCGGACTGGAGTGCTCCAGAATGCAGTGCGCCACGTAGGCCGGGTGGCTGTGCAGGTTCCTGCACTTCTTGCAGAAAAGGATCTCGCAGCGCGCACAGCCCCCCGCGCGAGGCGGCCGGCGCCGCGTCTCCAGCACGCAAGGCGGCTCCGGGAGGCTCCTCTTCCTGCGAGGGGCCCGGGTCGCTCAGTGCCCCGCGCCGTCCCCTCCCGCCGGGACGCTCGGTGCCTCCCCCCGCGGTCCCCTCCCGCCGGGACGCTCAGTGCCCCTCGCGGTCCGCTCCCGCCGCCCGCCTCCGCCGGGGCGCGCCCTCACCTGTCCGCCGGAGCCGCCAGGCCGCCCAGCAGCGCGAGCGGCCCGAGCCAGCCCCAGAAGCCGCTGTCCGCGCGTCGCAGCAGCGCCACCTGCTGGGTACTGGACTCCTGGCGCAGCGGGCAGTAGGACACCGAGCCTCGCTCGCGGCCCTCGCCGCCCTCCGCCTCCCAGCGCGGCGCCTCGCCCTCCGCCCCACTCTGCTCCCGCGGCCTCGCTGTCGCCGCCTCCTCCTCCTCCTCGTCCTCCTCTTCTTCCCCTTCATCCGACCCCTCCTCTGCGGCCGCCTCTGCCTCGCTGGGCGGCGGCTCGGCCAGTTCCTTCTTCCACAAGGGGGTCTTCACTCCTGCGGGGCGGGCGGGGGGAGGTCAGCGCAGGCCCGCTGTCCCCCGGGAAGAGCCGGGTACCCCGACTGCTGGCCAAAGCCCGACCCCCCCACCCCCCAAAATGGCAGGCGCCTGAAGGACAGTGTGCTAGGCTAGCAGGATCCCAAAGCGATGATTACAGAGTGTGCAGGGTGATTTCCAGGGTGAGACCAGGCCTGCCGGGCTGCCCCCCATTTCCCAGGTTTCTAGGCTTCCTCGCTGAGGATTCGGGGCAAGTCACGTCGCTTCTGTCCAGCTCCGTGTTTCCATCTGTAAAAGTAATGCTCATCTCCGGGGTGATTGTGAGGCAGGTAGCAGGTCTCTGTCAAGTGCCCAGCCCAAGGCTGGCCTTAAGCCCAGATGCGGCAGCATCTCCGAGGAGAGAACCCACGGCAGGCGCCCGCGTGCACACACACACACACACACACAGACACACACACACCACCACCACCACCACCACCACCACCACCACCGGCAGACCAGTTAGGAAAAGGCTGCCCGGGGAGTGAGCCAGTTAGGAAAAGGTGTTTGTTCTTCCTTCCAGACTTGATCCCAGTTACCAGCTGGATTTCAGCCACCAGTGTCCCTCCAGCCTTCTGTAGAGCACAAACTTCGGAACTCAGAACAGTAATAGTGGCAGGCGGGACGCTGCGGGATTGCCATGGGAAGTAACCTGGCCTCTCCCGGGCAGGACTCCACCACTCAGCAACCTCCTACCCTCCCCCCTGGAACAACTCTGTGTTTGTGCTCCTCTTCGCTGGATTGGGGAGCTAGACTTCCACGGAAAAGGAGGGGGATGAGGGCTGGGGAGACACCACTGTAGTTTGCCCTGGAAAGCTCAAGAGAATCCCTATTGGTCCCTGCCCATCCTGTTTAAAAGAGGCTGGGGACAAAGGAGCATGACACAATTAGTGTTCTAGCTCACATGTACTGAGCACCAGCTGTATGCAGTCACTGTGAGAAATTCTTCACACATTGTGCCCCTTCATTTTCACAACCACCTCAGGTAGGGGGGAGGGAGGTAACCAAGGGGACTCTGAATTTCATCCAAGATTTCCAAAAGCTTTCCCAAAAAAGTTGTTTCAAAGAATCTGCCAGTTCTCGATGTTGCTGAAGCTGGAAAACCAGGGTCTGCGGCACTTTTTGTTAGAAAACACCCTAAGGAGCCTTTTGGTTGTGAAAGGCAGGCTTAGTGCACAGCCAGAAACAGATGCTGGAAATTTTTTGAGAGAAGTGGGAATAGGAAATGAGGTTAGAAAGGAAGGTTGGGACTTTGGGTGCTAGGCTATGGAGTTCGGAGTCTGCCCTTCAGGAGTGGGGAGCCGCTGAGCATTCTGATGGAGGGCCATGCTCAGAGCTGTGTTTTAGGATGGTCTCTCTACAAGACAAAGACACCCACTTAGGCATTGTCACAGCAGTCCCTGCCAGAGAAGACAAAGGTCCAAACAGCAGCAAGGAAGATGAGGGAGAAGATGTCAGGAATATTCAGGAAAGAGGAGAAGAGGTCTTGTACAAGTAACTGAGAAAAAGCTGGACTTCTTCTCTGGGGTCGTCATGGTGATGGATGAGCTGGTCCACACTGGGTTTGCAGCCACACTTGACAGGAGTCAATGGTCCTGTCCTCAGTCTCCAGCCCATCTCCAGCACCACTCACCATGCTTATCCATTCTTCCTAAGGCTGTGCTGCCCTTTCCTCCGGATCAGAGACTGGGATGAGACAGAGTTCCCAGAACGCATGGAACTTTATCTGATCTCTAGGGCCTTTGTTGGATCACAAGGGGTAGGGCTGGAACTTCACCTGCCCTTAGGGTTCTACCCAGGAATAGCTGCCTTTTCTAGAACCTCCAAGAGCACTTGAAATCCAGGTGCCCCCCAACCTTCCCTCTTGGCAAGGGATTAAAGGGGAGAAAGGGGTGACTTTGGCTGCCAGTAGACTGGGTTCCAATCCCAGCTTTGCCATATAAATGTAAGAGCTATGTGACCTTCAGCATGTTGTCTGACCCTCAGTCTCTTCATCTGTAAATCAGAGACAGTCACACAGTACCAGACTTTACCTGGCCCACAGAAAGCCCTCCAAGCATTATGTTTACTTGTATCATTATGTTCTCTCCTCCCCTTTCTGTCTTCTCTCTATCCTTCCTCTCCCTGGCTCCCCACTCCCCTTACTTCCAGCTCACTGCCTTAGCTCCGAGAAGCCGAGGAAATGCCTCTAAGTCCAGTGGAAGCAGGGTCCAGGCAAGAGTTGGGTGTAGCTCCCGAATGTCGTGTATGTGTCTGTGAGAATTGGAGCAGGGGGAGGAAATAAAATCATGGGGCCTTGGAAACACAACTTATTTTCCAGGCCTTCTCAGAGGTGTGTGTTGTAAGAGACAGGAGTAGGCAGAGGGCTCAGAGGATGCAAACCCAGCTCTGGAGAGCCTCTGTCTGACGGGAAAAATGACTTGGTTTCCATCCAAGTCTGAGGGTGGAGGGGAGTGGGGTCTCCCAGTTTGGGGGAAGCTGGTGGGTGGGATATAGAACAAGGAGCATAGAACAGCTCTTGGGAATCTGCTAGTCACAGGGGGGCCAACCTGTCAAGAACTGGGAGGGGTCTGAACTTGACTCCTCTTGCATGCTAGCAAATTTGCTTGCCGGGGCATCCAGGATGTGCCAAAAACATGAGGCTCCTGGATCAGAGACAAAGGACTGGATTCCTCGTGGTACAGCAGCAGCCTGTTCCTGTCGGCACCGCCTGCCCCTTGTCCCCTGGGTGCCATGGGGTTGGGCCCGTGAATGCCTGCACGTGGGGGGGTCTGCATCACCAGAGAAGCTCTGAGCGTAGCAACCCAAATCTTCTATAACAGGCAGCACACAAGTCTGCACTTTGCTCCAGAAAGAGAGGCCATCACTATCCTCCAAGATTGTTCACTCTGTTAAACACCCTTGAAAAGTCAGCGCCTCTATTTGTGAGACAAAGCAGAATTGCAAAAGACCCATGGAGAATTGTCTCCCAGTAAACCCATTCTCCTTACGTTTACTAAAAGAACCACTGTGGCTCTGGATGGCAAAATTCTAAAGCTCACTCTGGCTAATTTAAAGAGAAAGAATAGTGGAAGCTCGCAGAATGGCCAGAAGGCTTGGCAATTGGACAGAAACTCTAGACGGATTGTGAACACAACCAAGATCCCACCACAGGAACGCCCCAATTGAGAAGCCACTGTGGAGGCCACCCCTGGCCACTGGCACCAGGAATGACCTTCTTGAGTCACTACCTAAGATTTAATGTCCCTGATGCCCCAGGCACCTCCAAACCACTGAGGCTAGGTAGTGGCTTTTAGGGAACATCCCGCCAAGAATCACAAAAGGGGGTTCCTCTGGTCTGGTCATTCATTTCATCCTGCCTCTCCCTGCCTCTTCTTCTGCCCAGAAGCCCTTTATAATCCTTAGGGTGTCCATTCATTGTTGTTGGGTTGTTGTGTGGGTTTTTTTTTTTTCCCATTCACTCTTCTCAGGGATATTCTGGGTTTTGTGGGACCTTCCTAAAAAGTTGGGTTGTTATAACAAACAAATAGCAGCACAAAGCCACATGGGAAATTGATCACAGAGTCGTAATACGGTCTGCAGTGAAAACAGGACAACAGGCAGTTGTTGTCGCGACAACAACAGTTGTTGTCACGACCAAAACAGAAAGAAAGGTTCCTCAGGGCCAGGACTTCTCAGAAACCCTCCAGCAGGCTTCTCTTTGAGCCTCAACTGGCCAGAACTGAGGCATGCACCCCTCCTAAGCCATTTAAGAAAAGAAACAGGAGGGCCAAGATTGACCTGGCCTGGTTGTAATTAATACCTTTGGTCAAGTAGGCCTCAGGGAGTATAGTTATAAAATAATCTTTTTTTTTTTTTTTTTTTTTTGCCTCCTGTAGTCCCTTTAAACCTGCTCAAGGGGAAGAAAGCTTCCTTCCCTTGTCCCTGGAAGACAAGTCAAACAGGTCTTATGAATTGTTCAGAGAACTGTTAGGCCACGGAAAAGTGGGCACTGTGGTCACCGAAAGCTGATATAATGTTACCTCTCCCCCCAGCTGGGGCCTGCCATGACCGGTGGCCACAGTGTGATGGGGTGACAGGCAGAAGACGTGGTCCTCCCTCCCTCTTGCTCTGCCTCTCCTTCCTTCTCAGCTGACCCATCACTGCTGTTTGCCTTTCCTGCCCTCATCCAGGCAGTTTCTTGGATCTAGGAGGATACACTGGGTTCTGGGGGTCACTCATCCCCCCTGCACCCCCAGGAATCCGCTGGTCCACTGCCAGCTCCCCCTCTACTGAGGTCTTCCCCTCTATTGACCTCCCCCTTGGCGGAGCGGCACACAGGAAGCACTCACCCATCCTCTGTTCCAGCTCTGAGGAGACTGCTTGCTGATTCCGGCACGGCCCTCTCCTTGGTCTCCAGCATGGAGCAGCTAGCAGGCCCACAGTTTGCATTTTCCGTCTCCCACACAGGAGTCAGACAGACAAGTTCATTGAGTCTCCCTAGTGATGGGGGATGAACGTCTAGTTCTCTGACTGGTCCCAGTGAAGCCCCTCTCTCTGCTTCTCCCCTTGTTGAGGCTCAGTCGGTTAAGCGTCTGCCTTTACCTCAGGTCATGATCTCAGGGTCTTGGGATGGAGCCTCCTGCCTGACTCCCTTCTCAGTGGGGAGCCTGCTTCTCCCTCTCCCTCTACCGCTCCTGCTGCTTGTGCTCACTCTCTCTCTCTCTCTCTGTCAAATAAGTAAAATATTAAATTAAAAAAAAAAAAAAACCATAGGGCACCTGGATGGCTAGTGGGTTAAAGCCTCTGCCTTCGGCTCAGGTCATGATCCCTGGGTCCTGGGCTCGAGCCCCGCATCGGGCTCTCTGCTCAGTGGGGAGCCTGCTTCCTCCTCTCTCTCTCTCTGCCTGCCTCTCCGCCTGCTTGTGATCTCTGCCAAATAAATAAAATCTTTAAAAAAAAAAAAAAACAGTTATTCTTTTGCAATTCTGAAGGTCAGAAGTCTGAAATGAGTCTTACGGGACTAAAATCGAGGAGCTGGCAGGGCTGGTTCTTTCTGGAGACTCCATGGGAGAATCTGCTCCTTACTTCTTCCAGCTTCCAGAGGCTGCAGAGTTGCCTGGCTTGCGACCCCCTTGATCTCTGCTTGACCGGCACATCTCTCCTACTTCTGCAGTCAGGCCACCCTCCGCCCCACACTTGTGAATACATTTCATGTCGGCCTTGACAATCTGGATTAGCTGCACAGTCCCTTTGGCCCTCTAAGGGGACATCCACAGTTTCTGGGCATGAGGACGCAGCTCGCTGTGGGGGCCATTCTGTGGCCTGCCATGAGACCCACAGCACAGATGCAATTCTCTGCAAACCGTCTCCCGCTCTGCAACAGCCTAACTCTTGACAGAGTCTAGTGGGAGAGAAATCTGAGCATCAAGTGGCTGCTTTTGGGTAATGCCTCAATTAAGAGTGCATACAGTCTTACTCCTTTTTGGGTTTGCTGCCTCTACTGTGTCTTGGAGCCTCAGCAGAAACTTCAATTTTAGCTCTGCCACGACTGACTTAAACCTATCAGGGTTCCTCTTCTGGGGCTGGGGCCCACCTTCCCGCATTTCAAGGAAGCTCCAGCTACTACCTGAACATAATAGGATTTTATTAGCACACATGAAAAAACAACTAGCCCTTCTGTACAGGGATAACCAGCCTCTAGGAAGGTTCCGCATGGCCCCTGACTCCTGGAATTTGTGTTCCAATACAGTGCCCTCCCATGTAAGGCCGACCTGGGTGACCGATGGGATATCGTGGAAATGACAGCATGACTTTCCAGGCTGGGCAGTGAAGACACTGGTTTCTGTCTTGCTCTCTCCCCCTGGGGAAGACCAGCTGCCACTTTGCCAGGACACCCAATGGACCCTATGGAGAGGTCTGTAGAGGGAGATAGAGAGGCTTCCTGCCCACCTCAGTTTTCTTGTTCCCTCATCCACGAAATGGACACAATAATCACGGTCCTGATGCCTTTTGAAAATAATTGAAAGGAAATTATCTCCAAAAGTTAAACAAAAGTGCTGCCTGATCGGGGCGTCCATGTCCCCTCTGCCTCATACCCTAGCTCCTGTCTGGAGGTTTCGCACTGGCTGTTCCCTCTGCCCGCACCCCACCCCATACCTGCAGGGCCTGCTTCCTCATTACCCTCATGCCTCTGTTCAAATATCACCACATCAGTGAGGCTTTCCCTTGACAAGCTCACATAAAATGCCACACACTGTCCCATCTCCCTTAGTGCTTTCCTTTTCTCCCTGGTATTTATCGCCATCTGACTTATTGTGGATTTACGTGTTTGGCACCTGTCACCCGTCCCCCCCTCCAACATGTACGGAGCCTCCATATTGCTCTTTCTTCAGGCCTGTAATAGTGCCTGGCACATAGGAGGAACTTCCGAATATTTACTGACAGAGAGCTTTGCTGTGGCCAGGGTGAGGTGCTGCGGTTTTGACAGCCCACAGCCGGCTCTAGAGGAATCCTGTGGTTAGAGCGGGGGATGGAGCAGGTTCTCAGAGAAAGCAGGGATCACGGGGCATCAGCAGGGCTGCTGGGAGAATCAGCGAGAGCTGGGACCCACCCCGCCCCGAGTGGGCGCGTGTCCTGAAACTTTCCACCTACATCATTCCTTTACTCCTCAGAGCACCGCAGAGGTAGACACTATTCCCCTTGTACAGCTGAGGAAACTGAGGCACAGAGGGGTGAGGTGGCATATGAAGGTCACAGAGGGATACAGGGAAGGGGCCAGGCATGAAGTCATGTCTTCAGACTACTGTGCCGCGTCTCCTTCAGCCCCACCTTACAGTGCTTGCTAAACACCAAGGGGCTCAGCAACCCCGGCCCTGCTTTCCTCCCCCACTCCCTAGCCCCCCAAAGCTTCATCCTTCAACCCAGGGAGAGAAACTAGCCCCAGCTTCTCCTCCCTGCTCCGAGGGTCAGGGCAGGCTGCGCGGGGCAGTCCTTGGCTGGCTGCCTCGAGGGTTAAGGAAGAGTGTTTGTAGCAGCGCTGTCTCCAAGGAGAGGAAGGGTAAGCAGAGTGGGGAGGCTGACAGCAGGGCTCCGGGGCTCCGCTGCTGCTGCTGCTGCTGCTGCCGCCGCTGGCCGCTGGGGGGTGGGAGGCAGCCTGCTGGACCAGTCTAGTCTTGGGGGGGAGAGAGCAGTGTCCTCACCTCCATCTGTCCTGGGAGGTGACCAATTCTGGGCGAACTGGGCAGCCCAAGAGTGAGGTCACTGCAGGGCCACCAAGTAGGGAAAGTTCTGGCAGGCATTGAGGAATGTGGGGGGGCAGGGGCCGGGCCAAGGCTGGCGGCAAGTAGCAGAGCCGGAAGTCCTGGGCTCACGGAGGGTAGAAGGGGCACCCCTGAGTCAGGGAGAACCAGCCAAGGCCCAGCAGGTAGCAGGAGTGAAGACAGGTATCCATCTCCTCCCTGCTGAGGGTCCAACCATGCCCCAGCCTGGGGGACGCAGGAAGAGGCCTGGAACCCTGGGGCCACCAGTGCGTAGCATCCGGCCCTTTAAGTCCAGCGAGCAGTACCTGGAAGCCATGATGGAGGACTTGGCTGAGTGGCTTCGGGATCTCTACGGGCTGGACATAGACGCCTCCAACTTCCTGCAGGTCCTGGAGACAGGCTTGGTGCTGTGCCGGCATGCCAACGCCATCACTGAGGCTGCCCTGGCCTTCCTGGCTGAGGCACCTACCCAAGCCCAAAGGATTCCCCTGCCTCGGGCTGGGGTTTCCTGCAATGAGGCTGCCCAACCAGGTACCTTCCAGGCCCGGGACAACGTCTCCAACTTCATCCAGTGGTGTCGAAAGGAGATGGGCATCCAAGGTAAACCATCCTGCCTCCCCCTCCCCACGCCCCTATCCTGCCAGAACCCACCTCCTCTCTAAGTCTTCAGCACCAGAAATCAGGAGCCAGGTCCTCTTTCCTCATTGACTTTGAGCCAATAAATAAATGTGTTGATTGAATGATACCCTCACTCAACAAACATACGCTTAGTCCCTATATCCTTTGTGCTGGGCACAAAGGACCAAGAGGACTGAGACTCAGTGTCCAAAGAGTTCATGCTAGGAAGAGAGACAGATGAACAGATTCACAAATTACAGCCCAGTGTGCTAAAAGCCCCAAACAGAAGTCTATGTGTTGAGGAGCCAGGGGAGGAAACAGGTGGGTAGTGGGGGCCAAGAAAGGCCACTCAGAGGAGGAAGATTTAAGCTGAGTTTTGGGGAACAAATAGAAGTTTGTGGGAAAGGGAATTCTAGGCAGGGGACAGCAGGGGCAAAGGCACAAAGAAGGTGCTGTGTTTGGATGACTGGGAGAAGCCAGGGTGGGTGAGGGCACAGGGCTAGGGTGGGCTGGGGGGAGGACAGGGAGGCAAGCAGACATTAGGGTGGGGCCAGCTGTGCTGAAGCTTGTGAGGCACAGGTGAGGGACAGGACAGGGTCCCTCATCTCCTAGGCCTAGTGGGATGAAGCTGGTTGCTGTGCCATCCTCCAGGCCAAAAGGAGTGTGAGGTGAGGCAGAGGGAAGAATCAGGCCCGGCTCCTGGCTGCTGGCAAGGCAGTGCAGAGCAGGACCGCAGGCTGAGAAAAGCCAGTGTCTGACGGAGCACCTCCCATGTAGCCAGATCCTGGCTGCAGACACCTAACGACTGTCTTCACAGCACCCCCCTGAAATAGTCTACATCCCACTTTACAGAGGAGGAGACTGAGGCTCCAGGACTAGCCCAAGGACACACAGCTGCTGGTGGGAGAATCAGGACTCCAATTCGGGCAGTCAGGCTCAACCTTGTGTTATATGTGGGCTGAGGGCTGCGTTCCAGATGTTTGCTGGATATTAGAGATAAGCCTTGAGGGCGGGAGGCAGAACAAACTGCTTCTTACTCCTAGACCCCTATTGCCAAACGGAGTAGAGAGAAGGGCAAGGTGGGGCTAGTCCACAGTGGGGCTCCGGGCTTCTCTGCTTGGCTGTGTCACCTCTTCTCACCCCAGCCTGTCCTGTTAGGGGGGCCAACCACTCTGCCCTGAGTGACTGAACAGTTCTGCTCAGACCCCTCCTAGGGGCCGGCCTGACTCCCAGACCCGGCGATCGGAACCCCCACCCCCACCTACCCCTCCGTGGTGCCTCCAGCCCGCGCCTGGGAGGGCTCTAGCAGCTACTCTGCTGGGCGGAGGTCAGCAGGGGGCTCAGGCTGCCTGCTCCCCCTCCTCTCTCCACCCCGCTCGCTAGAGGTGGTGATGTTCGAGACCGAGGACCTGGTGCTACGCAAGAACGTGAAGAACGTGGTGCTGTGCTTGCTGGAGCTGGGCCGCCGAGTCTGGCGCTTCGGCGTGGCGGCTCCCACCCTGGTACGGCTGGAGGAGGAGATCGACGAGGAGCTGCGGCAGGAGCTGGCCCTGCCCCCGCCAGACCCGCCGCCGCCCGAGCCCCCCGCGCGGCGGCCCTGCCACTTCCGCCACCTGGACCAGCTGGTGAGGGGCCCCGGACACGCCCTCCAGGCCCCGCCCCGCCCGCCGGCCCCGCCCCCTCCCCGCCGCGCTCACGGGTCGGAGCCGCCTACTTTTCGAGCCCCAGCGGCCCCACCACCACCACCGCGAATGAATTCTCGGTGCGGATTTGATTCAGCCGTGTTCCACTCGGGGCCTCGATCCTCATCACATATCGCCCCAGCTAAGCTGCTTGTTACGTTTTCATCAAAATCCCGCTCTCTGGATCTCTCTCACCGAGGCCCCGCCACACGGCTATTGAGAACACAGCCTCTGGCACCGTCTCCGACGCCTCGGTTCAAGTCTTAGTTCCCACTGTTCCGCGGCTGTGTGACTTGGGGCAAATTATTTAACCTCTCTGTGCCTCGGTTCCCTTATCGGTAGCGTGGAGGTGTAATTAGTCCCCTCTTTCTATGGCCGCTGAATATTAAATGAGCCAGCGTATAGGAAGTACTCGGAACAGTGTCTGGCACCGAGGGGGCGCTGCATAGGAGGTTACTAGGATTAACCCGTCTCTACTACCCAGGAGTCGAGCTCAGGGAGGTTCCTTAACTTGCCCAAGGCCTGTGGTGCGGTGGAGGCAGGACTCCGGCCGAAGCCTGTCAGATTTCAAGGTCCACCTTCTTAATCATTTCTCCACTGACCCACAAGGGCACTTGGACTATAGGCTCTCGAGGTCTCCTTCTCAGTGGACATTAAAAGTTTCTGCACTCTCTTCTCAGCCCCCAGCCCTGACCTCGGCAGAAACTTGGAGGCTGGCTCTGGGGACAGGCAGGCTCCCTCTCATTGGGCTTGACCCAGGGTAGGGGGTAGGGAGCTTGGGCACCTGTGCAGAGGGGAGACTGAGCCCTTTATCACTGCCCACAGGTTCAGAGCCTTGTGAGCCGCTGCACGTGCCCAGTTCAGTTCTCCATGGTCAAAGTGTCTGAGGGGAAGTACCGCGTGGGGGACTCTAACACCCTCATCTTCATCCGGGTAAGTCTCGGGACTGGAGTTGGGGTGTCCCCTGGATCAGAAGAATAGGGATGCCTTTCATGGGACTTTGCCCAGGACTGAGGACAAGGACAGGAAGTCACCATTCACCCCAACCTATCAGGCCTTGGGGCTTTCTTTCTCTCCCTTGTGGAATTCCGGAAGATCGTTGGCGAAGTTGGTGATCCTGTCCCTTCCTCCCATTAGGGCAGCCAGAACCCTGCCCCCCATCTTCTCCACCTTAGCCCAGTGCAGACGGGTGTCCAGGCAACAATGGAGCATGACAGATATTCCTGAATGTCCTTTGCCTCCACTCCCTCCACATGCTTGGTCAGAGCAAGGGGCATGAGAACCCCAAGTTTGTGTTCAGTGCACAGCCCAGCCACACATGCCCCATCGTCCATAGCTCACATGCCTGGCTTGGTATATCCTGCAGAGTGAGCAGCAGTCCAGATGTGAGATGTGCCCCTCGCTGCCCATCCCCTCATAACTGGTCACACCTCACCAGAAACAGATTGTACCTAGAGGCTTGGCCAAGCCCTCTCCTTGATCGCAGGCCATTACTGGAGACAGAGCCAGCTTCCTGGGTCCTCACCCAGACCCTGAACCAAGAGCTCTCTGAAGTAGGTCAGGACAAGGAATTTCAGCTGAGGAAATGGAAACCTGGAGAGACTGTGACCTGTCCCATGGTCCCAGAATGGGGTGGATGGCACTCCCAGGATTCTTTGACACACTCATTACAGAGCAAAGCGGGACCACTTTTTTAGAGACCGGGGTGGGGTGGGTGGGCAGGGCCTAGAGGGAGAGAGAGTGTCCCAGGCAAACTCCGCACTCAGCACAGAGCCCGATGTAGGGCTTGATCTTACAACCCTGAGATAGACTTGATAGATAGACTTAAGCCAAGATCAAGAGTCAGACATTTAACCAACTGAGCCACCCAGGTGCCCCTGGGCCACATTTCTGATACAGGTATGTGCAGGTGAAAATCTCTTTCCAGTGAAGGGAGAGAAGAGAGTGCTCCGGAGCCAGGGTGCACAGTGCTTGTGAGATCCCTTGTCTAGCTGTGGGGCAACTCTGTTTGTCAGCCTGTTTGTCAGGCTGGCTGCCATCCTTGACAACATGTGTTATCTGATGCTAGTTGTGGAGGAGAGGCAGGCTGCAAAATACACAACGCCCCCCCCCCCCCCGGCCCAACAATACACCTGTGCAAGGAGAACCTTCGTGATCGTGTGTTCATGGATAAGAGTGCCTCCTGGAAAACAGTAGGCTGCTCCCGGAAGAGGAGACACCCTCCATCCTGCCCCCAACCTCATTCTTGTCCCCTACAGATCCTCCGGAACCACGTGATGGTGCGTGTGGGGGGCGGCTGGGACACCCTCAGCCATTATCTGGACAAACATGACCCCTGCCGGTGCACATCCCTCTGTGAGTCCCCCGAGAGTCCGTCTCTTCCCTGTGGCTCTGGGTCGGGAGGCCAGAAGCAGAGGTAGGAAGTAGGTCTGATCTCCAGGGGCAAAAAGTATGTGGGGATGGAGAAAGGAAGATACTATAGAAGGTACTGGTGTGTGTGTTGTTTTTTTTTTTTTAAAGGCACTGGTATGACGAGGGAGGCAGCCCTAGTGCAATACCAGTCACAGCCACAAAATGGCGCCAAACACACAGAATCAGCATTTGGTCAGGAGCCTCTTGGCAAGGCTGAGGTCTGGCTTTGTTGTGCACGGTGGTGACACCAAGTATGACTTGGAGGGTTCTTTAGTCCTCCCGTAACCTCCATTAGCACCCTGAACTGGGCCCCCTGACCAGATTTCGTCCCCTGAACTCTTATAAGGAAGTTCTGGCACTGCCACTGTAGGTCCTATTGTCTCTGATGTGGGTTCGGGGCATGGGGCAGCTAGGGCAGAACAGTGGGCCTCATCAGCAGGAACTTAACCCATTCCTCCTCTCTTCTCTCTTGGGGGGACTGTGTGGGTAGCACACAAGACGGGCAGTTTCCAGAAGCCCCCCGTCCCACCGGTGCAGCATGAGGTGAGGATGCAGGATGGGCCCTCGCAGCCCCAACCTACGATGACGATCAGCCGTTCCCAGAGCCCGCTGCCCCCCGTGGACTGGAAGACATATACCTCTTCAGGCCGGAAGCTGAGGCCCCCAGCCTCCTCCTCCCCTAGAGCCCACAGTAAACGGGGAGCAGAGGTGGGAATTCCCAGAGAGACACCACCATTCCTGAGGTATAAGGGAGAGGGGCAGAGCAGGGTCTCTTTCTTCTTTGGAGTTCACATTCTCAGAGCCCCCCCCCCCCCCACCATGGTAAAGGAAGCAGGTCTCCTGGCGGTGCCCCTACCCCAGGTGTTCAGAACCAAAAAGGCACCCAATCAGTACCATTGGGATCATCTAGCTTTTTTGTACACCCTCCCATTACATAGATGAAGAAGCTGAGGCCCATAAAGGCCCATAGAGATTTCCCAAGGACCTTCTAAAATTTCACAGTAGAACACACACTCAGACGCCCCCTCCCCCAAGGTTGGGGAGTTGTAGTTGTGGGACCTGAAATAACCCAGGGTCCAAACCAGGCTTCTATTTGCTACACAGGGGAATGAGGGAGAATAAACTTGAACAGTACCTGTCATAAGGAAGATTCGGGCAGACACAGAGGGACAGAGAGCATCTGTTTCATTCAACATGAAGTCTGGGCCCCTTGGTGTTCTGGCTGGGGAAATGTCATCCCTTCCTGGAGCCAAGGGACTGGATGAGATGGTCCTGCTGGCCTTATGATTCTCCCTTTCAGGCTCCAGGATCAGTCACCCACCCTGTCTTGGAGGCAGCTGCCAGTTGGGGACAGCCCACCCAGCCTCCACTCCTCATCCCCCCATAGGGGTCGAGACCCACAGTGGAGCTCCTCAGGGAGGAGAGAGGAGAGATACTCCTCTGAACATCCCAGAGGAACGACTCCCACATCTTGCTTTCGTGAGGAGACAGACAGCCAGGGAACTCTCTCCAGGGCCTCCGCCTCCCAGAGATTCCAAGCCCCTGAAGCCACCACCAAAAGGACACCAGCAAGAGGACTGTCTCCGCTTCCTCATTCCTCCAGCCCAGCCAAGCCCACGGGCCTCAGGCCACCACCCAGGGGCGAGGCTGAGGGTGCTTCCTCCCAGCTCAGGGAGCCACCAGCTGTCCGTTCTCTGTCTCCTGTTAAAGGGCCCACCAAGCTCCCTATCTGGCTGCCCCCTGCCCGCCCCCTCACCCCAGGAACCAGCTTTCCAGGTATTGCTGGTGGAGGTCCCATGACAGAATTGGAGAGTGACCCCATCCCAAGGGCTGTCCCTGGGGACCTGGCTGGATGCAGACATGGGGATTTCTCTGTGGATGCGAGACAAGGGGACCAGAAGACGAACAGCCAGGTGACAGCAAAAGCTGGGGAGCCCTGGGGCCTGGGCCCACAGGAGTGGGAGGAGCGATACCCTCCCCTTCCCCTGGGGGCAACCAAGGATCAAGCTATCTACCATAGTCCCGAGGAGGAGCTTTTGGCCAACATGGCGCTGCTAGAGGTGGGGAGTGCCTGCCCCCAGGGCACAGGGTCTGGAGTCATCCCTCGAAGTGGAGTCTACGTCCCCAGCCTAGGTGGGCGGTGGCCTGAGCCTGGGGCTCCTTATGACAAAGTCATCCAAGAACTGGCTCAGGGCCCCCCACCCCTCATTAAAGTGGACCTGGGATCCTGGAAAGCAGCCTCTATAGGCTCCCCTAAGCTAGCTATTACCAAAGGCCCAGGAGGCCCCAAAGGGAAACTGGGAGCCAGAGAGAGTGGGCCAAAGGTAAAGGCAAGCCTGAGTGCCAAGGGCACTGGGATAAAGAAGGGACCAGCTCTGGGAATGCAGGACTGCTCAGGCCCCACTGTGTCGGCCAACCTGGAAGCCCCCACACCTTCACCCTCAGACCCCAATTCTGACAAAACCCAGGCATGTCCAGCCAAGATTAAGAGAACACTCCGAAAGCCCCAGAGAGTCCCATCCATCTACAAGCTAAAGCTGAGGCCCAGAATCCGGCCGCGGAAGGACCACAGGCCTGGGAAGCAGCCTTCACGCATCCCCAGGCCACTGGCTTACCTCCACGTGGGTTCAGCCAGGGCACTCCCCAGGGGCAGACTGGGGAGAGCAGCACTGGGCACCAAGGGAGTGGGGGTGGATGGAGCCTCAGCAGGGGTGGAGGAGGAAGGAAAGAAGAAAGGAGAACCAGCTGCCCCACTGAAGAGCAACCCCCAGCCTTCGGAGGGCAGGGGTCTCCAGCAGCTTGATCAAGCCCCACTCCCACCTGAGGAGGAGTCCTGGGTCTGAGGTGGAGCCTTCTCAGCCCTGAGCCTGTGAGTCTGGGGGAGAAGGAAGTGAAAAGGATGCCAGCTATCCACTGGACTCCCAGCTGCAGGAACAGAGAACAAGGTCCCTCACCTCCATCCAGGGCCTTGGCAAGGGAGAGGGTACGGATGGGGTCAGAAGACAAATACTGGTTCAATCTCCCACTCCAACTCCAGGACATCGAGGCCACCCTTGGTCTTCTTGCCTTCTCCCAGAACAGCTCTCCAAACTCCCGGCCTCTGGCCACGACCACCGTTTCCATAACTCTTGTAAGTTATTAAACACTTATGGGACTATTCCTGAGTCCCAAGCTTCTTGAGTCCGTCACTCGAGGACTGTGGTGGTGCAGAAGGCACAGTTTCAAGCATTTCCCCAGGTGCAGGAAGGTATAGCTTCAAGCGTTACCCACTGGAGTGGAAGGGGATGAGGGACAGGGAGTGGGGCGGGGGCAGGGGGAGTGACAGAGGTCTCCTCTCCCAAGGCTCAGCCAGCTTTGCCAGACGGCCCTTCTCTGAGAAGCCACTCATGTGTCAGCACCAAGGACAGGGACACACAGGCCTGCAGGACTTCAAAGCTTTGCTCTGGGTTTTGGAAACGGAGATCACTCAAGTCAAGAGGGATGGTGGAGAGTTCTTATCACATCTACAGCCACGAAGGGGCTGCAGAGGCTCAGCCCTAACTGGGATCAAAGACACAGCAGCAGGAGCTGGGACTGAGCCCAGTTATGAAAGTTTTCCTGAGAGTGTTGGGGGGAGACCTCTCACTTCCCCTCGGATCGGTTTTGATCAACATGGGAGTGCTCAGAGGCTAGATGGAGAGGTGAGTCACAAACTTCTTAGTTCTCTGGTTGACCCAGGCTCTGGGACTCAGAGCAGCCTCCTCACCCTGACAGTCCTCCCACAGCCGAGCTCAGCAGGCAGGCCCCGAAGGGGAGCCCTCTCCCTCCCAGGGCAGGAACTGAGCCAACACCTTGTACAGAAACAAGGGAAAACACTCCCTGATTTTTAATCTGACTTCCGATCACAGCGCAATGGGCATCATACACACTTCCAGACCCTGTGGTGGGAAACCCTGATGGGGGGGGGGGCGGACAGAGACTCAGAACAGGAGTGGAGGGAATCAAAATCAAATACCTGGAGTGCAGTGGAGGGGGTGAGGGGGGCCGGACAGGCAATACATTCCAATGGCTCCCATAAGGGGCAGCCAAAGGCCTGGATCCCCCATGCCCACCTCAGGTGCCTCAGCTGGGGGTGATAATGATGGGGCAGGTGAGATGCTGCCATCCCTCACCCCATCCCCTGGGTGCACCAGGAGGCAGGGATGCAGGGGATCAAAGGGGGCAGGCCCTCTTCCTTACCCTCCCAGCCACTCCAAGGTGTGGGGAAGGGGAGCCACCTCCTCTGTTTCAGAGGGAGGCTCAGAGAGGGCAGGTCACTTGCCCAAAGTCATGCAACACAGCAGGGACTAGATCCCAGAAATACTGGACTGTCCAAGGTCAGGGCAGTCACTGCGGCACTGTGCTACACCCCACGGATGGAGGGAGGATCAGCTGGGGAAGTGGAAGGGAGAATCAGATTCCCTCTCACACCGGATCTGGATAAATTCCCTACCCATGACCCCTCCCCCAAATCTGCTCCATCACCGCTCTGGGCTACCTGATTTTCTGGTCTATACACTGCAGCTTGGCTACATTGAGGCTGGGTTGATTTATCTGCTCCTCTTCTAACGAGGGACCTTCCTATCATCCTACCACACCAGGGCTCAGGACTTAGCCTCAAGGAGAACTCAGCTAGGGGCAGGGGACACGTACCATTGTTCCCATCCTCCAAGTACCCCAGTAATCCCTCAGGCCGGTCCTAATATTTTCATGGATTTTGTTATTTCTAAATCGGTACAAAACTGACAGTGATCAGCTCCGGTGACAAGAGGTAGAAACCGGCCAGGCAGCCGGAGAAAATGGGGTGGAGTGAGTCAGGGCATAGGGCCAACTGGTGTTGGGATAAGGGCGTATCAGATCCTGAGGGCCTCTATCGAGGAGTGGGGGTGTGGGCATATCTCCCCCAATCACAGGGGTCCCCATAATTCTTTTCCTGGTTCTGCCCCTCCCCAGATTTATCAGAGAAAATCTGAGATTCAAGGCAGGCAGGGTCTGGGGCAGTCAGACTAGAGTGGGATGGGGGAGAGAAGAGTCTTCACTAATACAACCTAACCACCCCCTCCCAACCCCGGGAGGCACCACCTTGCCCACCACCAGCCCCCCAAACCCAACATTCCCCAATCTTGCAGACCACCCAACGCAGGAGGGAAGAGAGGGCTGGAACCTGGCATCATGGAAATAAATTTATCCTTTGGGGGATTCCCTCTCCACACTCCATCAAGAAAAGTTGTAACCCAGGGGGTGATCTGGCTTTGGGGTCAGGAAGGGGATGAGGGGCACCCGGCAGGGATGGACCATCGAGTTAAGGCTGGAAGGTAGGTTGTTGTGTCTCTGGGGGTTGCTGGGCGGGGAGATCTCCCTGGAAGGGGGAGAGCTCAGCCTTCTCCTCCTGACTGACCTCGGACTCAACCCTCGGACCCCGATTAGGGTCCTTGGGCCACCTGCATCTCTCTGCCCTGTGCCGGTGGTGCTGACGGTCCAAAGGCTGGCCTCATAGAGAAGCTGCCAGGATCTGCGACAAGGGGATGAACGAAATGAGAGCCCTGTGAACGGAGCTGGGGAAGGCGGAGCGGAAGGTGGATAAGATATCTAAGGACCAACAGATGCTTGGGCAGACAGACACGGGGAAAGAAGATGCAGGGCAATGACAGAAACTCTCTCTGGAGAAGACGGGTGGGGGCCCCCACGGCCAAGGCAGCACCTCCCCACCCCCAAGCCCCGCGCTCACCCTCCCGATCCCAAAAGGCCAAGCCGCCCCTTGGGGCCCGGCCGGGCACACGGCGCTAGCTACAGGACTAAAGGCGGCGGGCCCAGGAAGACGGATGCGGAGAGGGGCTGGACCGGGCCGTCGCAGGAGCCTCCCCTCGCCCTCCACCTCTCCCCGCAGGGCCCGCGGCTGCGGCTGCGGCTGCGGGGGTTTGCCAGGGCGGGCCAGCCCGAGTCCTTCCCCGGCGCTCCCCGCCCGATCCACCCCGCAGTCCCCGGGGGCGGCCCCCGCAAGGCCGTTCGGGGTGCGGCCGCGGGCGGGCGCGGCGTCACATGATGGCGCAGCGGTTGCGGCGCAGCGCGCCCTGGAAGCGCAAGGCGGCGTGCACGTGTTTGCAGCGGGCGCAGCCGACGCTCTTGAGCAGCTCGCTGAAGAGCAGCAGGATGTGCCAGTTGTACTTGGCCGAGCACTCCACGTAGCCGCACTTCCAGGTCTTGCGCACCAGGTGTGACACGTTCCAGCGCGGGATCACGCGCCCGCGCTGCAGGTCCCGTTTGTTGCCCACGATGATGATGGGCGTCTCCGAGGTGCCGATCACCCTGCGGGGTGGGAGCGGGTGGAGATCTCAGAACGCCACAGCCGGGTCTCCCAACCCCTGGACTTCAAGAAGGGCAGGCTGTGCCTGGTCAATACTGCTACTACTACCCTACCTCTGTTCCGGGCACAGTGCTCAGCCCTCGGGGTGCCTTATATTCTCTAAGGGGAACAACTGATCTAAAAGGTGGGTCTGTTATCCCCATTTGACAGATGAGAAACCCGAGGCTTATCTGTTAACTGGGTTAAAGTTAACAGATACGTGGCCCTGGCAGTTTTGTTCCCAGAGCCCCTGCTCTTAACCACTGCATTAGACTAGTCAGCCACCCCATGGTAAGAACCCCAAAGTGAGTTATTAGGAATAGGGACAATAAAATGTATGTCTGGATGTCTGTGCAGGAACCAGAGGGTACGTCACCAATGCCCCCACCCCTCCGCCTCCCCTTCACCCTTTCCAGGGCTGCGGGTAGCATTGGGGTCCCCACTGAAGTGGCCCCTCACCTCGTCTCTAGGATCTGCTGGCGGATGGTCTTGACGTACTCAAAGCTGTCAAAGCAGCAAATGTCGTAGACCAGGATGTAGGCGTGGACGCTGCGGAGTCCCCTGCAACAGGCGTCTGCCCACTCCTGCAACACCCGCAGCCAGTGTCAAGGTCAGAGCAACCCCGAGGGCTCCCTTTGCCCCCAGCCACCTCCAGGCATAGACAGAGGGCATTCCCTCCTGCCACTGCACCTCAAGCCTCCCACACCCACGCATCCCTAGGAGGCCTGGCCCAGAGCAGAATGGAGGAGCTCAGTGGTGCAACAGCGGCTTCCCCACCTCCAAGCCAGGATAGGGCAGGTCCCACTGCCTGACCTCTAGAGGCCCAGCACTCACTGTCATGTGCACTTCTGGCGCAGAGATCTGCCTTGTCCCGTTTCATCGCCCAAACCATTCATGCATTCCTCCATCCACTTGGTCCTCTGTTCAAGTACATGCGTCATGTGCCCATGTGCCTGCCTCTAAGAGCCAAGCCCTCCGAGCTAGTTGTTCCATCTGTTGAAATCCTCCGTCTTCCAGTTTAAAATGCTTCTTCCTCCTCCAGGGAGCCTTCCTGCAAGCAGGGGACTACTCCCTTCATTTCTTGTGTGCTAAGAACACTCTGATTCTACCTTGGCTATTAGACTGTTTCCATTCCCAGTTCCCTAGTTCTGCTGTGAAGTCCCAAGAGGGTGAGAGCCAGCCAGGCCTTCCTTGTTTTTGTGTTGGTTCTCACCAGGCTCTTTCATTGCACTATTTAGGCTGGTGAGCTCTCTGTGGCCTTGAACGCCCCCCCCACCCCCACTCCGCTCCATGCTGGGATCCCAGCAACTCTGGCCTACAGCACTGCCCTGAGATTGCTACCCAGAAGTGCTCCTTCTGTTTGCTCCACGCTGCCCTCAGGATTGAGAAGGAGAAGACTTGAGGAGAAAAAGACTGAGACTAGCTGCATAGTGGGGGCTTACTTAGACCAGGGCCCAAGGGCAGCTCTGGGGAGAGAGAGGT